AGGCCCATGGCATTGACTTATTTAATTAAATTAAAATGATTTAGAAAATGGGTGGAAACAAATAAACAACTGAAAATGATGGGAAAATGGGCAGAAAAATAGATAGAGAAATGGAAGTTGATTCTCACTGAAAATCAAATGATTTTTTAACAAGTTGATTACTCACTAGCTCTAATACATTCTGAATCTAATGTGAGCATAAAAAAATTGATAAAACTTTTGATTTAGGAAAAAAAAGAGCTCTTTTGTCCTCCTTTTATTGGGTGATAGACGAGAGTGTTCTTTTGTTTCTTTGTCAATTTCTCATGTTATTTTATGATTTAAATTCGATTTTCCTTTGTTTCTGAATTCTTTTCTTTGATTCATCTAGGTGACATGTATATGAATTGAAAAAATGATTGATTTCTTATATTTTTATTAGGATTTGACTCAAATTCATTTGTTCACTTGTCTCTAGTGTCAAAGGGGGAAAATCCTAATTTAAGATCTGTTTTATGTTTGATTCATTGTGTTTTCAAGTTTGGAATAGTTCTATTCTAAAATTTAAGAATTGATTCATATATCAAAAATTGATTGATTCACCTTAACATTTGAAGTCATTTCATGTGCCTCATCTCCAATGTCAAAGGAAAATTGTTGATTTTTAATCAATTAAAATTTTATTTTGGTAATGTTTTCTTGTGCTGAATCAAGTCTAAACCCATTTATGACCCTTTATCTTCATGTTATTACATTTGATTTCATTTAGTTTTCCTAAACACATTGTTCATTGCCAATAGGAGAACCCACTAGAGAAGTCATTTTCTCTCTCTTTTCCCTCTCTCATCTTTCTTTTGTCTCTTTTTGTTTTTATAGTAAATCAAGATTACTTGATTTTTTTAGTTTTTCTTCATATAGATTGAGGATTTGACATCAATTAGGGAGGATTAGGATAAGGAAGAATCGATAAATAATCATGTTAAGTACGTTTTATCAAGTGAAAAATATATCTTCTTCTCCCCCTACTCCTTTGTTTCTTTCTTATTTTAGTTAAATTTATTTTTTTTAAAGAACTCAAAAGAAAAATTCTCATTTAACTTGATACCTTCCTTATGGATCAATGAGAACTACATTTACTTGTTTGATCTTAATGTGAATTTAGTTTTAAAAATGTTAAATTTGACATCTCTTAATTCAAAAACTAAGAGATGATCAATATGTATTCGTCATCAAGGCCCTATAATCTTATCTAGTACATTAATCTCTAATTAATTTCACATCCAACATCACCAATTTCATGATTTCACATTAGAAGTGATTTTATATAAATTTCTTCATAAATTATCAAAACATCATTAAGTTAATTTATAACTAGACAAAAAATAGGATTGAAAGAAAATTCTAGTAAATCTTATTTGTTTCTAGGTGAATGTTTATTTACGTACTTTTCTAAATAGCAAACTTTGTTTACACTATCTACTACTAAAGCTCTATATCAACTAGAAGTCATCTTCCATAGCTAGAAATTAGTGACTCTAAGTTAAAAAAATACTTATCCTTTGTGACAACATTAGTGTCATAAATGTTGTCAAAAACTCATGTTTTATGATCTAGAACTAACCATAGTGAGGTTAGGCACCACTTCATTATGAAGGGTTTAATGAGGTTAGTTGAAACACTAAAAGTGGTTTTCTATGATTTCTGGTCTATTCTCGTCCTCTATCTATGAGTGGATGTGTTGACACATGTTTTCATCACTCCTCTGTTCTAAGTATGAGTTTACGCAAAGTTCTCTTTTTCTCCACAAGAGTTCTCTCTTGATTCTCTCATCACTATCAAGGATACCAAAGATTTTTATACCAATTTAATCTTAAGTTGGTCACTTTTACTCTAAAAAGATTCTTTGTACTAGAGTTTACAATTTCCTCACAGAAATACATACTAATAATGAGATTAGTGGCTCAACCACACCAATTCAATATCCTGAAAGACCACACATTTCATGAGCACAACTAAGTTCTTAGCATCACATGTTTTAGCCCAAATCTCTCTCTACTCACCACCCAAATACCTTATGACTTGGTAGAGAGAGTTAGCCTTTGAAACAAAGGTTGCATTGAATCATCAGCATTGAATGAAGTATTGATGTAGTTTTTAGTTCTTTGTTGAAGCTCGTGGTAGTTGAACCTTGACAGATGGAGAGAGATGTTCTTTAGAACATAAATAGTCATTGTAAAGATGTCTTTGTGCAAGTTCATTATTCTTCTACGCAAGCTTCTTCCTTTTATTATCTAATGTCTTTCTATCTTTTTATGTCTTAAAAAATAGTCTTGCAAATTCAATATTCTTCTCATTACTCTGTATGTGCGTCAACGATCTTTACTTATTCTTTTCTTTGAAGCTTATTATTCTCACATACATCATATTTGAAATTTAATTTGAAGATTCATGACTTATGAGCAAACATCTTTTTATATTCTATCAACATATCACCATCCATAATGTGTGACAATGACTTCTTTCTTTTTGTGAATTTTCAGATGTCTTCTTGCATATGCTTCCGATGTGTCATTTCATAGGTTTCGAGTTAAAGTCTTACTAGTGTCTTTATTGTTGTGATTTTCAAACATTTTACTCACTAAGTTTTCCAGCTTTCCATTGTTTAGGTTTTAAGTTTGAATCTTGCTAGTGTCTTTGTTATGTCATGATTTTCAAACATTTTACTCATTGTGACAATGACTTCTCTCTTTTCATGATTTTTTAGATGCCTTCTTGCAAACACTTCTGATGCTTCCATCGTTTAGGTTTTAAGTTTGAATCTTGCTAGGTTCCAATGAATCTTGCTAGTGTCTTTGTTATGTCATGATTTTCAAACATTTTACTCATTGTGACAATGACTTCTCTCTTTTCATGATTTTTTAGATGCCTTCTTGCAAACACTTCTGATGCTTCCATCGTTTAGGTTTTAAGTTTGAATCTTGCTAGGTTCCAATGAATCTTGCTAGTGTCTTTGTTATGTCATGATTTTCAAACATTTTACTCATTGTGACAATGACTTCTCTCTTTTCATGATTTTTTAGATGCCTTCTTGCAAACACTTCTGATGCTTCCATCGTTTAGGTTTTAAGTTTGAATCTTGCTAGGTTCCAATGTGTCATTACATTGCAAGTGTCTTTGTTATTTCATGATTTTTTGACATTTTACTCGTTGAGGCTTCTGACTTTTTGTCGATCATGTTTTGAGTTTGAATCCTTTGGTGACTCTAACATTACAACATCTTTAGATACTTCATCACATGCATCATCACTAAATTGTCATGTACTTATATACAAGCTCTAGGATACTACGTTAACACCAATATATAAATATCTTAAGTAATAATGCCTTAGATTCATTTGGTAACCATAGGATCACACAAGTATTAAACTTCTTATGTAATTCTCATGATGTTCATTGAATATTCTGTAAATATTCAATAAATAAAGTTTTGCTTGTAGTATCAAAACCAATGGAATCAATATACTAGACATCATGTAACTAAATAAAATTCTGCATTAATTGCTTGTAGTATGGCCTCTCCCTTGAGTTGGCCCAACAAGCAACTCTGAACCAAAATAATGTTGCATGAGCATGATTCTCAATTTAGTTCCAATAAAATTAGTAAGTTTGATGGGGTCAAGTAATGAAAGCATGGGTCAATGATAAAGACCCATGCACCTTGATTTGACTAATGGACCACTCTTGATTTGATCCAACAATCGATGGGATTTGGCTTAAGTGAAGTGCTTTGGATCCTTAAAAGGTCAAATTCGGGGGATTTAAGGCAATAAATTGTAATAAGCTGTCCACATAATTGAAAGAGGACTCATAAATCACTATCCTTTAAGTGTGGGTAAATCTATCCCTATTGGGATGATGCCATCCCATGCTACTTTAGGGGAGTGAATTGAAGGCAATCATATTAAGAAACCGTTGCTAAGGGTAGACGTTATATTTTTACCAAGAAATTATTGTAGGAATTCATCATATTGCATGAGACAAATTTAGCCGAGTTAGGCCTACCTCATAATAGGAGACTAGGTAGTTGATGAAGAAATTCGGATGAAGGATCACATTTATCTGCATTAGGACAAAATCTCTCTCTCTCTCTCTCTCTCTCTCTCGCTCCCACACCCACACCCACTGACCCACTCGCTCCATTTCTTGCGGTTTCTCCAAGACCAGGCCATAAGAAGTAAGACAGGTGGAGAGAGGAGGGTCGCCCTCTGGCAGGGAGAGAGAGCCACGCACGGCCGATCGCCCGGTGGCGCGCCGGCGGCCTCCTCCCTGTCCGAACCCCAGGCCAGAAGCCAAGTCCATCGATGGTCCTTATTGCCGCTGGGAGGAGGATAGGGCGCCGCCGCCGCACGGCCGCCGCACGGCCGCCGGCTGGCCGCCCTTCTCGCCGCCGCGTGGAAGCCCCGCCGAGGGAGAAAATAAACCAACTCCGGAGATAGAAAAGCGAGACGGCTGACTAAAAAACCAGCGGGGTCTCCTTCTCTGGGTACTGGTGGAGCCGCCAAGCCGGCGGCGGCCACGTCGAAGCTCCGCCGAGTGGGCTGCCTCCCGGTGGCGGCGGACCAGGCGGCGAGATCACCGAGGATTGGCAGCACCCCGGCGGGGGGCAAGAAACCAGAAGGGACTGGTCGGCTTCCCTGAGCAGCAGCCGTATTTACTGGGCTGCCCACGGGCGGTCTCCCATCCCCAAAACGGGGGCGAAAGATCTCCGACTCCCCACCACCCTTTTCCAAGGGTGGTAATTCCAAACCCTAAATGGAGGCCATTGATTCCCCGCTGCACGCTGGCCGGGGGGAGGGGAGGGGTCAGAGGTTTTGCAACACCTGGAGCTCCGAAGCCGCAAGAAGCCATCGGAGCCCGGAAAAAGTAGAGAGAGACTAGAGCGAGAGAGAGAGAGAGAGAAGGGGGGAAATCCAGAGGTAAATAATGGGCGTTCTCGGAGGGGAGGAAAAGCGGGTCTCCAAATGGAGGGGGAGTGGAAGGGCGGAGGAGCCTTCCTCGCCTGCTGCGTCCTCGGGGCGGCGGCGGAGGAGGAGGAGAGGAAGAGAGAGGGGGGAAGGAGGGCACTGGCGGAGGGGGAGTTCCTCCGCGCCGTGCGGGGGTTCGGGCCGAGCCGGAGGAAGAAGAGGTCGGCCAGGCAGCGGCGGCTCGTGGTGGGGCCGTTCTCACCCGCCGACGCTGCTACGGCGGCGCCGCCCGCGCCGTCGCCGGCGAACCCAGTCACCGTAAGTGCCGCCACCTACCTTACCCAACTAAAGGTCTGATTTTGCACAGCAGTAGAGTTGCGATATATATATATATAGATATATTTGGTGTTTTTTTCGGTGGGTTGGTAATTCCGACTCCGTCGGATCACTTCGAGCGGGCTGTGGACCGTCCAGATCAGAATCACAGGGAATAGGAAGATGGAATCGGTTCCTGGTTTTCTGCCACTCTAGAGATCATGCACAGGGTACTCAAAATGGGAACCAAGAGAGGATTTTCTGGTCGGATTTCCCGGCCTGGAAGAGAAATCCCAAAATCTGGATCTTCTGGTGGATGAATGGATTTGAGGGGCGACAGCAGGGTTCAGGAGCTGAGAGGACAAGGACTAGCGTAAGGATCAAAAGACTTCTACAGGTCGAATGATTTGGAGGATGGCGTTGACCATCAGCAAGTCGACCGTAAGCCTATGGCGGAATAGCCCGGTGAATCTGGCTGATCTGTAGACGCTGGAAAGTTATTTTCTGAAAAACATCGCGATTAATGTGAAGAACAATGGACAAGCATTTTATCTGAATCCTATCAGATTTGGTAATATCATGAAGATAATGCAAATAATAACTTGAAAGGCACTGCAATAATATTAAAATAATAATAATCCAAATGTAAATTGACGATTGAGCAGAACAGAGACTAATGATGAAATTAACCAACAACGGGTGAGTCTGGGGATTAAAGGATTTTCTTTCCCAATGGTTGTACTCAATTATACACCCAATTGAGCAGAATTAAGCAATGGTTTAACCGTGGTGTTCTCGAAGTAGCCATTTCGAGTAGCTCAAGATATTCTTTGACCTTTCTTTACAGGGCAGTGAGATGGACTTGGGCATCTCTGATCTCTACTTCGACGTAAGCTTTCTTTCTCATGGGGCAGTGATGGATTCCCAGCTCAGATTTCTTTGTGGGCATCGCTCTGAATATATTTTTTAATGAGTTATTTGCAGCAAAACAGGGGATTATTAAGGTTTCTTCTCCAAAAGGAACTCAGGAAGAGTGATGTGGGATCCCTTGGAAGAATGGTGCTTCCAAAGGTCGGCTTTCCCATGCTTTATATTCTACCTGTGATTATGTCTATTCCCTTGATTCCCATGGCTTCTCTTCATTTTCATTCCGAAGTGGAGTATAACGTGAACTGGAACATTTTAAGCAACTGTTACAGAAAAAAATAAGAGACCTAAAATTTTGTTTCAGAAAGAGGCCGAGGCCCATTTGCCTGTCCTCATGGCTAGAGAAGGGATCTACATGTGCATGGAAGATATGGAGACTTCTCATATGTGGACCTTCAAGTACAGGTGCGAGATTGGCCCTCTTGAATATTTTTCAGACTTTGTACTCTCTCTTTTTTGTTCACTGGGTAATCATGTATAGAGGTGATCACATGATTTCCAAACTTCATATCCCTGGTCCCAAAACCAGTTTCTGAGTTTCTTTCTCATCTATGGTTGGCGTTGGTTCTCCATAGATTCCTCTCTAAAGAATGCAGAGTGTGCTGTCTCCTTCCTCCACTGTGAGTCAAACGATGCCTAGTAGAACAGTTTCTTCCTTCCTAGTGTATCACCAGCCGATTTATCATTGGTGATTTTATGTGTGAAGAAATATAAGTTCTAAGAGGGAGGATGAACCTTTCAAATTTTAAATTCGCCTTGCCCATAGTTGTATTGTTTCTGGAGCTGACAGATGTGACAGCGATGGTTTCAGTATTTGATATCAGATGGATGAGAAAAGTAATCAGATTAGATGTTCACTCAACAATATGAAAGACTCATCTAAATATCTTCATGGTATCATCCCCAATTTGCTATTCCATTCAGTTTGTCTTGGCAGCTGGCCTCAGTTCATTCAATGGTTCCTAACTTCTTTGTTCCACATAAGCTAATGAGAGCAGCTCATAGAAGACACCCTTTCTTTCTTTTATTCTGCTTTGGTCAGTTGAAAATATGATTAGCTCGTATAAAGTAAAACCACTTAGTCAAATGATCTGGCGAGACTCTAGTATAAAAAATAAGGATTGAATCTCGTTTCTTCTGTTATTGGGAAGTTGGAAATCCTCTAATCCTATCCTAATATACCTTCTGGATTCCCTTCTTTCTGTGGAATCGAGCAGATTCTGGCCTAACAACAAAAGCCGCATGTATATCCTCGAGAATACGGGTAAGTTCCTCATTCTCCAAACTTCAATATCGGCAATGTCCGTAATCGATCTCTCATATTATCTTCTTTTCATCAGTATATTACTATGCCTCCTGAAATTTTGCTTCCAGAAGCGTTTACATTTGGCCTACTCCCATTTCTTTCTCAGGGGATTTTGTCAAGAGACATGGCTTAAGGCTTGGCGACTTTGTTATGCTCTACAGGGACGATTACAGGCAGAGATATGTAATGACCCCCCCCTAGACCTCCCTAATATTCGGTTCCAGGAAGGCCAGAAGCAACAGGAATTCCCTAATAAAATCAATTTGCAGGTCATTCGAGCGCAGAAAGCATCATACCGAGTGGCGCCATCAGCTTCGGCCGAGAGCGCCGCGTCCAGATCCGGCGGCGCGAAAGATCATCTGGCGGCGGAGGTGGCCGATTGTTACGCCGGATACTCGGATGCCTACGACGATATGTGCCTGGCGATGGATGCGTCCTTCGCCTTCTCGGCCGACTTCACGGTGGGCCTTCCCAACGGGATTCTGGATAGCCCTGCCGCCCTGGAGTCTGTTCCCAGCTTGGGATCCATCGAAAACCTGTCGCTCGACGACTTCTCCTAAGGCGGCGTCCCTCCTCTCTCTCTCTCTCTCTCTACCTCTCTACCTCTCTACCTCTCCACCTTTCTCTCTCTCTCTCTACCCCCAGCCGAGGAATAAGACGAGCTCCGGAAGAGCTCCCATGGCGCCAAAGTCCGTGTACCAGGAGGCAGGATGGAACGAGGATCAGTATATATATACAGGCGGGATTTTGTGCAACACTCCCTCCTTTTTTTCTTTTTCCAAACGGATCGCCTAAAGATAAACTGTTGGATATACGTCACTAGCTATACTGCATGCTATATTTTAAGGGTATAAATCCAAATATTAAATTTTTGAACAAAAATGCAGTGGTTGGCACGGATGGTGGAGAGTATGAGAAAATAACTATTTTTTTAAAAAAATGGGGTTTAAAGAAAATTAATAAGATTTTATGGGTCACAGAAAGATAATCCTTGTCACTGGTCTATACCCGCGGTTGTCAAGGGTCCAGTCGTTTGAAGAGGTTTCAAATATAAACATAATTAAAAAAATACAGTTTTTTAAAATACATCGTAAAACATGGCCACGGCAATCAAGGCCAAATCATTCCCAGAAGTTTTAGGGTTCTGAAGCAAGCAAGAAAATGTAGGGGGGGTTCATCATAAAATCATTCCTTTGTATGATGGCAGGAGAAGCAGTGACGCTAGGCCTCTCTCTTTCTATCTCTCTCGCTCTGTGAGTGAGCCTGAGGCTGATGTGAAGACCCAAAAAAGGTAATAATGGGCCGGGCCAGATTGGGCAACCATTGACAGGCCTACGTCCCTATCCATGCGCAAATCGTTGCATCTTCTAAGGATTTTATGATAAAATACCATCAGTGAAATCGCGTCGACTGACTCCTCTCTCTCTCTCTCTCTCTCTCTCACTCCATTGTCTTATTCGAAGATGGCGAAACCGAAAGCGGACAAACCGGCCATATGGGATGTCGATGCATTGAATGTCACACATGCCCAAACGGGAACTTTGCATCATCTAACCTATCTAGAGAGGGAGAGAGGAAGGGAGATTTGTATTAGATATATATATGAATATAACGAGAGAGAGATAGCGAGAGAGCGAGATAGATAGCGAGAGAGACAGAGAGAGCGAGAGAGAGAGAGAGAGAGAGAGAGAGAGAGAGAGAGAGAGGGAGACCTCTTAGCTGCATGATGTCTTCTGTTAGTATGAACACGTTTTAATATCATAGTACGCGCTGGCCTCATCGACTCGTGAGGAGCCGACGTAGTTTTCGGGAGGGGTCCAAGGAGGGCCGAGTCTGGGCTTTAACAGAAAAATCTAGAGAGAGAGAGAGAGAGAGAGAGAGAGAGAGAGAGAGAGAGAGAGAGAGAGAGAGAGAGGATCTGAGCGATTCTTTATGTCAGGCCATGACGGAGCAGTCGAGCAGAGCTGGGGAGCCACCACCGGGGCCCGGTTCGTGCTCCCCATTCATGGCGTGGGGAGCTCCCTGACTATATTGAAGGGAACGTCCAAAGGAGGGGGGGCCCTCCCATTAAATGAAGTTTCTACGAGTCCAAACGGTGGAATCTACCACCCGAAACGCCCTAATTTGAATAGCTCTCTCTCTCTCTCTCTGTCTCTCTCTCTATCCATGTATCTATGTATCTATGTATGTATGTATCTATCTCTCTGTCTCTCTCTCTCGCTATCTATCTATCTATCTATCTATCTACCTCAAAACAGGCTCCCTCTTCTTCTGATCTCTCCAGCACGCTCGCTCATTGTCGCACAGCTGTCCTCCCGTAAGCACCATCCCCTCCCTCCCAGATACAGTCGAACCTGAGCTCTCTCTCTCTCTCTTTCTCTCTCTAGCTATGTGTCTCTCTAGCTGTCTGTCTGTCTGTCGATGCACAGACAAAGGAGCAAGGTTCGCCATACGGGCACGATGGTACAGGCCCCAGCAACCAACCCGACCGTGGCCCGCAACCCACAAGCTCATGTCGGCAGGGTCATCCCCGCCCGTCGCCGCACAAAAGACACGATGCACGGAGAGAGAGAGAGAGAGAGAGAGAGAGTCAGCCAGTCAACCAACCAGCTCTCTGTTTATTTTCCATCATTTAATTCTTTAGGATTATCGTACCGATCCGCACAAAAACGCTGTTTATTTTCCATCATTTGTGGTTAAAAAACAGCCATATTATCCTGACGGCGCTCTCCTGGTCAATACGGAGAGTCGCACATTCCCCCGGCTTCTGTCTCTCTCTCTCTCTGTACATTTTAAATAATAGATTATACTCGGTATCTGCAGTTATTTGAGCTGACATTCTGGTTTTTTTAACATAAAGTTGGGATTTTGATTCCTCAGAGAGAAGAAGCTATCTCCAGGGGCAGCCCTGGCTCCGGTGGAGCCCCGCCGACTGTTGCGGAGGGGATGTATGTGATCGTTGTGGTGGCTAAATGGTGCCGACCATGGGGGACAAAGGATTTGAAAAAGTAAAGAGGAGAGAGAAGTCAAGGACACTCGGGGATTTCAGTGGCTGGTCATGTCAGTCTTCCCCCACGCAGCGGAGCTTGAAGAGCACACCTCGTCCGCCACTTACGGAGACGGAAGATAACTACAGTAAAAACGTTATTTTCTATGCAGAGAGAGGGTAGCATGGGGAATGTTCCTCGTTTTCTACTCCAACTCGGGAGAAGGAACCTAATCATAGGAAAAAAACATTAATTTTTATACATGCAGACATCATGAGAGTGCTGGGATGCAGCAGATACGTTCCCCATCCAGTTCATTCTTGAGCTAGAGAGAGATGGTAGCATGGGATGTGTTCCTCTGATCCAATGTTGAGCTGGAACGAGAGAGGGAACTGGATATCATGAGATACATCTCTTCTCGGAATTGCTCCTGTGATAGGGATAGATATAGACTGATTGATAGAGAGATAGGCAGAGATAGAGAAAGAGAGCGAGAGAGAGAGAGAGAGAGAGAGAGAGAGAGAGAGAGAGAGAGAGAGAGAGAGAGAGAGAGAGAGAGAGAGAACATTGTTGTCCTTCCCGAACTACTGGAAGGGGCAAATGCCGAGCTCCACTTGATGGAGGAGGCCCCGCATCTGGTCTCCCAGTTGCATCGCGTAGCTCCTCTCCCCTTCCTGAAATGCACATACACAGTGGTCTTTGTCAATGACGATATCTATGGGAGCCCCCACTTCCCCCACTCTCTCTCTCTCCCTCTCCCTCTCCCTCTCTTACTAGCCCTCTCTGCCAGTCTCTCTCTATCTATGAAGGGCACAAAATTTCTCTCCCTCTCTCTCTCTATGTCTCTTCTCTCTCCTTCCAACCCTCCCTACCCCTAGACTCTTGACTGTCTCCGTGTATTATTACCTCAGGATCTCTCTCTCTCTCTCGCTATTTCTCTTCTCTCTCCTTCCAACCCTCCCTACCCCAGACTCTTGACTGTCTCCGTGTATTGTTACCTCAGGATCTCTCTCTCTCTCTCTCTCTCTCTCTCTCTCTCCTGTGTCAGTTCCTGTCTTGAATGCCACAAAGTCTCCATTCCGTCCCCCCCCCCTGACTGTTCCTCCATGTAGAAACCTGACGGATGCGTTTGATAGTCGTACTGTGCTCGTAGAAGCAGCACAGTGCACCGTCAGGGAACATCTTTCAAAGGACACACCGTCCCCCTCTCTCTCTTTCTCTCTCACTCTTTCTCTCTCTACTGTAAATGCAATCCATGCAGAGAGACCTGAGGGAAGGCATGAGGGCCCTGGCCGTGCAGGAAAACCAGGGCCGCTGAAGACTCCTGTACCAGACGGTCGTCGTCCCCATTGTCGAAGAAGGGAGACGGCTGAGGAGCGGGTGGCGGCGCCGGCGGCATCTCTACGTTCTGCCATCTCAAACAAAAAGTCGTCGCCATTAAACCCCTAAATATTTTACCTACTCAGCTCAAGATAAGTCAACGATGATTCAAACTAAGTTTTCTATATTCGGCTAAATCGTAGGCTAGGTGTTCTAGCCTGGCTCCGTAGGGGAAAACCAGGAGCTGGGCCGGGCCTCGACCAGATACAGGCTGTAGAAAAGCCCGAAAAATACCGAGAGAGATAGAGAGAGAGAGAGAGAGAGAGAGAGAGAGAGAGAGAGAGAGAGAGAGAGAATGTGAACACAAGGAAAAATTGGGCTCGAAAATTCGCTTTATTATTTAAGAATGTAAAAATATAACCACAAATTTTGATACCAATGTAAATAGCTAAAAATAAGTATAACGTGGGTTTATGCCAACATGCACAAGATAATATTAAATACTGATATTTTAATTTTAAAAAATATGACATGTGAAGATCTACATGTGGGGTCTATGATCATACCTCTAACTTGATCAGGTGATCCAAATCCGTGTAAGAGCTGAAGAACACTGGATTAAGAGCATCCAACTTGAAAGATAGGAACTGCCTCATGATGAATTGCCCAATCGTTACTCAAGCTAGATACAGAGAAGAGAGAGAAACATAGAGGGCCGCAATGTTGGTACCTCCACTTGGTTCCTCAAGTATTGCACGTAGTTGATGATCTCATCAAGCATGAGGGCCTTACCAATCACCTTCCACCATTTGACACCCAACATTAGAGACGTCATAAACTCCTTTAATCAACTACGATATAATAGGTGTCAAAGCAAACCATGATTAAGTCAAAATCAACATGGCCTTCCGTGCACATTCTAGAGAGAGAAACAAAGACGGATACGCATATATATATATTTACATAGACATATACGACAAGTTTTCTGGCTAATCGTTAAACAATCATATGATAAAGAAAGTAGTATTTACCTTCCGCACCATAGATTATATGCTAATATAAAAAGTAAAACAAATGATTGCATCCTTTCCATAAATAACATCAAAATCAAGCAATTTCTTCCCACATTCGAATAATATTGTCCACCCCTAAGAATCAACTTATAGGTAACATGATATGTCAAGAACGAATGATATGGGCATTAAAAAGTCAACCCTACTCCCCTTGCTTAGTTTTAAGTTTCATGACTTCATATTTTTACCGCAATTAGAGCTTGTGGAAAGACTACGAGGGATCGAGCCAATCTGAGTTATTAAAAACCCTAATAAGATGATGAGGCCTTGCTGGTCGTCACCTTGTCGCAGCCGGGGACGAGACTTTGGAGAGTCCTCATCTTCTCACTTATCTTGCCCCTCCTTGCCTATGAGGAAGACACAAGGTAAAACTTGAGATAGTAGCCACAAGCCCTGAATTGTAAATAAATGTTCAAAATTCATGAATAAATGAATAAATGAATAAATGAATAAATGAATAAATGAATAAATGAATAAATGAATAAATGAATAAATGAATAAATGAATAAATGAATAAATGAATAAATGAATAAATGAATAAATGAATAAATGAATAAATGAATAAATGAATAAATGAATAAATGAATAAATGAATTTAAATGAATAAATGAATAAAATGAATAAAATGAATAAAATGAAGCCGTACCGAATAAATGAATAAATGAATAAAATGAATAAAATGAATAAAATGAATAAATGAATAAATGAATAAATAAATGAATAAATGAATAAATGAATAAATGAATAAATGAATAAATGAATAAATGAATAAATGAATAAATGAATAAATGAATAAATGAATAAATGAATAAATGAATAAATGAATAAATGAATAAATGAATAAATGAATAAATGAATAAATGAATATTTAATTTATGACATTAGCCGATCGAAGGGTAGAGATTTGTTTTTGGGCTCAACTTGAAACTAATTAACAGCGTGTGGGATGACTTATAATTTGAGTTATACAATAAAAATGTGTTCTTAAGAGTGTTCTAAAATTACCCTTTCTGCGAGACTGTGGCTATCGGTTGCTTCGCCCCTCCTTGCCCTCACATGAATATACCCGGCGGGGAACTCCCATGCTGCTGCCGCCGCCACCTCCTTCGCCGGAGACCCGCTTTTCCTCCGCTTCCTGCGCTTGGCCTCGTCCGCATCCTGCAAATTGGAGGACGAAGGAGAAGCTGAACCAGATGAGAAAACTTGATGAAATCAAGTATGGAGGTGTAAAAATCAAAGCGGGTTCTTCTGCCCACGTTGAATTGTGCCGAGTCACCGCTCTGGGTCTGCTTTCTCTTCTTCTCCGCCGGACTGGGCATCGTTTCCGAGGAGGAGGAGGAGGCGGCGGGGAAGCCACTGAGGGTGGAAGGGAGGAAGGAAGTGTCGCCGGAGAAGAACCCGGGCTGCGGCGGCGGGAGCGGGAGGTTGAGGCAGGAGGAGGGATCCCTGAGGAAGAGGTCTTCTTCGAGGGCGAAGGGGTCGTGCCTCTGGAACGCGAAGCCGGACATTTAAGGCGCGATCGAGAGTGCACAGAAAGAAGAGAGAGGAAAAGAGAGAGAGAAGGGGAGTTTCGATCGAGGCCGAACTGAAGACTGAAGTACTCCAGCTTTATAGGAGAATCGCTGGTTCGTGGGGCACCCAGACCCTGGGGGAAGTGGGGGGGGATGGGAGGAGAGAGAGAGAGAGAGAGAGAGAGTTGTTCGACAGTGTAGAGTGCAGGTTCTGGGTCGGCGTGCCGGACTAGTCGACTTGGCCCGGATCTTGAGAAAACTCATGAAGTGAGAGAGACAGTGCCTGTATGTATATGGCATGAGATGGAGAGGGGGGATGGGAGAGATAATGACAAGTGGGAAATCGTCAGAGATTGGCGGCGATCTAAAACGTGTTGTGGGCTTTTGGACCACCTCCTACTAGTCCTAGGTCTAGCCCAATAGATGCCAGGCCTTTTCTGGGCTTCATTTCCAAGCCCAAGGCCGAAAAAGACCAGCCTTGGGTAGGTTCTCATTGAGTAAAATAAAAAATGACGGTCGTGAAATATAATTATTTAATATAAAATATGTTGATCAATAAAATAAAATGTTATTTTATTTATTCCGAAAAATTAATTTCAATAATAATCTTATTTGGGCTTTCCACACTGCGGCTGAAGATCCTCTCCCGAAATTTCAGCCGAAAGTAGAAATAGCTCCGAATATATCCCTTCTCTCTCTCTCTCCATCTCTTCGTACGCTTCCTCTCTCCCTTATTCTCTACGTCCATCCCATTCTCTCTTTCCACTCTCTCTCCCCATTCCATGTAATATTAATGTTGGGTTTCTCTTTCTCTCTCCATCTCTTCGTCCGCTTCCTCTTACTCCCTCATTCTCTCTCTTTCCGCCCTCTCTCTCCCCATCCAACGTGATATTCAATGTTGGGTTGTAATGCATGCAACTCTCTCTCTCTCTCTCTCTCCCTCTTAGGTGAACGTGAAGGGCTATTTCCAGACCTCTTCTCCAACCCCTATCTCAAGGCCACCCCCACCCCCGCCTAATCCCCGATCATTAATTGATATAAATAATACTTAAAGCAAGGCAAATTTAGTCCAAGATAAACCCCCCATATCACCATGTTCGCAGAGCATTCTTCTTAAAAAATCATAAGTAAACATTTTGATATTAAAAATAATTGGAATATTACGGACTCGACCAGATTTCACAAAGTCGCCTTACCACAATATTGACTTCGATATTTCCATCAAAAGCTCGATCACATGCCTCTCTTCATTTCATGGGACACGTAGGCATCAGCCGCCATCTTCATCTGAAAGCAGAGTGACCCTCAATCAGATCAAACCTATAATCACACAAATATCTCAATTTAGATCTATTTTCTTTAATGTTTTTTAATAATTTAAAGCTGAATCAAATCCCATGCGACGAATAGCACTCATATTTTCCGAATATATATATATATATATCTATATATATATCTATATATATATTAAGGAAGTGATCTCAATCTTGTAATGTGTGTAGTTATTTGAACATAATACATTCGATGGGACTGCAGATTCATCATAATATTTACTTGGAGATGGAACGCATAATTGAAATCTGAGTCAAATACCATTTGGCAAAAGATAATGAACAGCAAGAACAGAAACAAATGGCTCAATATACAAGGATGTAAGAAGCTTTTTGTTGTGAAGAATGCTGATCTGAGAACCTCTTTATATATCAAGGGGCTGATTCCATCTGGGAATATGTGATCGCTTTTGCATTGCAGATTCAGTGGGGCTGTTGATCTTGAGCACACAATAATCTTTCTTCTGTGCCATTCTCTCTCTCTCTCTCTCTCCCTCCCTCTCCCTTCCTCCCTCTCTCTCTCTCTCTGTCTCTCTCTCTCTCTCTGCTTGTGTGTTCTTCATCGTCTCCTACAGGACTTTAAGGGGCTCTTCTTGCACAATTAAAGATAAATCGATCGTTTGGTCTGATCCTAACCTAAATTGAGATCGGCAAAAGCTGGCATGGCATAGAATGCCATCCAAGAAAGCACTGTTCTTCTGAGTTGAATGAATTCCAATAGATGCATAAATTATATTACCTGCAAGGCATTAATTGCTTGCTTCACCCAAGAGGGCCAACATGAATGGAACAACGAAAGGAGGCCTCTGCTTCACTACATTCGCAATAACCTAGAGAGGAAATGCCATAAAAAGATGGGATTTTAACAATGCCCAATGATCAATTAATCAATTAAATAGAAATAAGAGTCTAGTGAGAGAAAGAAGCTTACATTGACCACACTTTCAGGTTGCTTTCCAGCAAGAGTGAATAAGTTGATGTAAGTAACCTAGCATGTTGAAATCTTGCTTTAGTCAAAGGGGGAGAAGAGATGAAACAAAGCCGAATCTTTTACCTCAGACCCAACACAGCAGAAGCCCATGAGTAACCGATGCCTGTAGTATGCCCTCAAAAGCCAGTGGGAGGAGTCATCTATATCCTTGTGACTAGCCCTGCCTGAGAGTAAAGTGCTGCAATGACCATCAAACAAAGTCATTTAACAGCTCAAGTCCGCTTCTGCCATAAACAAGGTGTTAGGGGAAGAGGATTACCTGTACATTTGTAGCCAGTGGCTGGCAATGTCCAAGGCAAGCAATGAGAGGAAGATCAGACCAGGACTGTGGTAACACAGAAAGGAAAGATTACACCACTTGACAGAGATGTAATGTATGTGACAAGATGGATGTAACGTATTACTATGATGAAAATACTTTTCACCTGTAGATATGTGAAAGGATTACCAGTAAACAAGCTGTGCTGACCCTGGATATTTGAGCCACAAGTTATATTCTGTACCGTATGATTTTCAGGTGTAATGCGAAAGCATCAAGTATATATCTGAATTGCAAAAATACTCAAGCAGAAAAAAAAAAGAAAAAAACAAGGGTTTTGAAGAGAAGATCTTTTGCTGTGAAACTTGTATGAAGGACCTGTCCGTTACCATATCCAATGCAGCACCGAAAGTAGACACTGTTTGAGGAAGAAGCAACGTGTCAAAGACATGTAACATCAGTTTCGAAAGAAAAGAGAACTGATTAAATCTAGAGGAGAAACATAAACAAAAAAATGCGATTGCATGCATGATGAAGTAGAGCGTTTCTTCAGGCATAATCTAAGAGACCAGTCTGTTGAATGTGTGGAAACGTTTGGTGAAGTGATTTCTTCTTTAATAGTATTGTAGAATCACTCATATATGATTCTTGAAACTGAGCTACAAATAGAGACTCCACTTAGTTTCCGGGTTCCAGGGGAGGTTCTCCTGTTTCGGAAAGAATGAGAGCTTGAGCAAGAAAACTGATTTCATCCTGCTTGGGGGCGTGTAATTGTTCATCATGTACTCAAGTGCCACAAATGATGACAATTCGTCCAATTGAGATGATGAAGCTCAAAGATCTACTAGACCATTAACCCTGAATGGAAAAAAAAAAACAGAAATGGAAAAAACAGCTAGATAGAGTAGTGTGGTTCTCAGAGATGTACAGTATTTTAGATATTAAGGTGAGGTATAGAGAGACAGTATGTTTTTCACATATATCTTCATGTAAGAACGATGTTTTTTATGAATTTTAAATATATAAAATAAAAAAGAAAAGAGTGAAGAAAATATATCAGATAATATCTCTGTCAGGATAGGATGTACCTTGATTTAGCTTGCGAGCAAACCAACCATCCAAGCCATCACACAGGAAACTGAGGACAAAAACGACTCAGTGTAATAGTTTTTGACGCCTAGGATGTAAAGGCATGAAAACTTCTGACATTGGAAGTTACAAGTTACATCAAAAAATAAAGACCAACGAAGAGCTTTTTGTTTGCAAAGCAAAAGGCAAAGGCCACACAGTTCATTAATACTCTCATATATCCTGCAAGCACATAAGCATTTTAATGATTGAGAATTGAACGAAATAAAATCCACAGTAAAAGATCTACAATCACATACTTTCCAACTTAAAGACTTTATTTACACAATAAATATAACACAAAAGTGCAATCGTTCTGCAAATGTGATGTACCACGAATGAGAGTGCAACTAGGAAAGGTATTTAAATATCCCTTTGTGAAGGTGGACCACTAATTTATACACAAAAACAAACCTTAAGTTTAGGGTCGGTTACTGATATCCCGTAAATAAAATGGCTATGCTTATAAAATTTGAGTGTTTGTCATAACGTCATTTGAATGAGCGACCAGCTTCTTTGAGTGTTTGTCAAATTTGTATTATATGTTGTTACATATAATACAAAAGAAAAATGAAAAATATGAAAAAAAAAGGAGAGCAAGACTAGAAACATTAAAGTGTAGATTGATTCAACCTAGAATTTTGTCTGACAAGTAGACAGAAACATTTAAACTTACACAAGAACAGACGAAACTATTTAAAACTAAGTACCATGGACTCTTAAAAATTTGACAGCATTTAGAATGATAACGCCAAGAGCATATTAATCTGTCATTAGAAAACGCAAGTTACACAGAGTGGCACAACACATTCAGTTCCCTAAACTATAAGCACGAACTAACCATCTTCTTCCCCAAAAAATCATAAGCCAGCTGCTTCTCCCCAATATATCATACAAAAAAATGCAGCAGGGGCCGGCATTCCGCAGAGAATCCATTTCCTCATACTATACATGCCAGAAGGAACCTCCCTATTATCCCAAATAAATAAAAAAAATGAAACAATGGGTAATATCCCTCGGAGTATTTTACATGAAAATATGCACGGAAAACGTAGCCTGAAAAAAAATGCAAAAGACTAAGGGGGTTGATATTCATCAGAATGTTCCCATAACTCACCTACTATGTTTGGAATGTAAAGATAGACGGAGACTAGATTGTCCGTTCGTGTGTAAGCAACTTCAGTACCTTCTTCACTCACGTTAGTAGTAACACAGGAATTTACAAGCTGCGAGTTACTACGTCTGCTCCTGCATCAAAATCAAAGATGGAATGACGTATCTGCTTATTCTGAATGTACAGGGAAACAGTAATATTTTTAATGTGGAGATGGCGATACAATTAAAAGAATATCACGTTAACATTAACAGTGAGGTTATTTTAAAGTCTTTTATAAACATTTCCGACGATTCCACAAACGATGCACAAATACACAAGAGGCTGTTGGAAATTTGACCCATCCGATAATCATAAATGGCCCTTTAAAAATACGCCGACTGTCTTATGTCGTGTGCAGTGCCCTGCTGTAGTTGAGGTAGGCAGGGCGCCACGGCCGCAGAAAAAGATTTGCAGCGGCCCAAGCAATGAGGAGAAAGGAAAACAATAACCAGCACTCCACTCGAAACCCGAAATAAGATTGAAAATTTCTCAATACGATAGACGTCAACCAAAGGGATAACAAGCATCAGCGGATGAGGGAGAATAATAGTACTGCACCTGGTTCGCGGTGAAGGTCTTGAATCGGGGAGAGGAGGGAAGCTGCTCCGACGGAGGGCTGTCTGATGATGACCAGAATTTGTCCTGCTCCCTCTATCCGGTATTGATGCACAGATTGAAGCGCGGCATGCTCCCGTTACCACGGTGGCCAGGTCCCCCTTACAGAGAGAGATGAGACTGGTTATATAATATAATGGCGAAACAAAATCATAAAGAGGATACAGAAAATTGAGTCGGGAGGAAAGAAGATCAAGGAACCAGCTGAAGAAGAGTATTGAGTTCTCACTCGCCGGCTCCATCCTCTGAAACCCCTGAGAACGTGTTCGAGCCGACGATCACTCAGCGGGAAGCCCGGCTCCCCGTCTCTAAAGCGACCTCCCAGGAGTACCCTCATCATCCCTTTCACTTTTGCATCGAGCAGCATCCTACGAGCCACCGGAGGACCTCCGAGCTATCCCAATACTTTGAACAACGACGGGAAATCAAATAATATTCAGAGAAAGTCGAGGTGCTGCAGAGCCGAAGCCCGAAGAGGTGGGGTGAAGAAGGGGCTTTGGAGGATGCAGCAGGCCGGCTGAGAGGCAGGAAACACGTCTGACGGCTGCGGCGGCTCCCCGGGGGAAGGTTGGAGACAAAGTAGAAGACGAGAGAGAAACGAGAGAAGAACGAGAGAGAGAGAGAGGAGAAGAGAAGGGAGAGATTTCCGAGGTGAGGAGCAGGAGCGAGGAGACTGTGAATGTGGTTGCTGGAAGCACCCACGCGGGTAAGATTATAGAGGGTTTTTTTAAAATGTTCCTACTAAACTCCTTTAAATGACGAATAAGTCCCTAATTTTATCTTCTTTACATTTTAAAATATTATCGATAAAATATTCCCTGTAAAATAAAAAATATTATATTTCCTATTTTTATATTATTTTGGATCTAATAATTATTTTAGTATTAAAAATAAAATAAAATAATTACATATGAAGTAGAGGATATTTATCACCAAATAATTAGTAAAATAATTATGAGGAGAAGTGGAATACTCAACCATGTGCTATAGATAATGGGGGGTCTGACGTGGAGATACCTGCTTACGTGGCGTCCACTTTTTTTTTTAATATCCCCCCCAAAAGATGGGAGGACTAGGTGGAAGACCAAGTCTGAACTTAATGGAAGTGAGGACAAATTATTTTTAAATTGTGAGAATGGTATTGTAGTGGATTAATAGATAAATAAAGTCAGATTCGAACCCATATTCAAAATGTTCTTTTTTAAGGGGTGATCGCCTAATAATTTACATGGTTGAGAACTTGGTTGTTTGACTAGTTTTAAGTTGAGAGTACTGGGGATTTGCGGGGGAGAGTGATGGAGTAGAGGAACACATTCATGGGGGTGTGGGAGATAGAGAGAGAGAGAGAGAGGGAGAGAGAGAGAGATGGATATAATGGGATAGAGGCAGAGAGTGAGGAAGCGTAGAGAGATAAATAGATAGAGAGAGCGAGATATATATATATAATATGGGATAGAGGCAGAGAGTGCGGAAGCCTAGAGAGATAGATAGAGTAAGAGAGAGAGAGAGAGAGAGAGAGTAAAACCTAATTTAAAAGTGTTACAATGTGGTGGGTCTGAAGAAGCACGTATTTTGGACCCCGATGTCAAAGCTCTCGCCTTGCACGGCAGAAACATCTGGTTTCCCATTGTCAGCCTAGTATAGGATAAAACCCCCGGCTTCTCCGGCAGATGATCCCCTCGAGAGTCGTACGCACCAATCTCTCCTCCTTCCGCGCCGCCGGAGATGGCGACCGTTGCGATGGCGCTGCATCCGACTGCCCGCTGGACCTCGTCGGCGAATCGCCGGAACCCGAAGCGCGAACGGTACAGCCTCAGACAGCACGACGCTGCGTCCCGTTCGAAGCGCGAATGGGGTGAGGAGAAGTCGCCGGTGGAGAAGTTGCTGGCAGTGGGAGCCGACGGCCGGCCGAAGGTCCTCGATGACGAGAAGATCGAGTCGCTTGGGGTGGCGGATTTCGTGGAACGATCGAGGGCGCTCGTCGGAGGTGGCAGCGGAGGGCCTCCCCGTTGGTTCTCGCCGGTGGAGTGCCGGTGGCGTGGGGAATTGTCCCCTCTGCTCATGTTCTTGCCCGGTGAGTCGGATGATCTCGCCCCATTCCCTCCCTCTCCTTGAAAGTCAACTCTCAGGATCCCTTGCTTACTTACCTTCTAGAGCGAGAGAGCTAGAGCGAGAGCGAGCGAGAAAGAGAGAGAGAGAGAGAGAGAGAGAGAGAGAGAGAGAGAGAGAGAGAGAGAGAGAGAGAGAGAGGGGGGGGAGCTCTTCCTGCCCACCGCGGAGGAGGGGAATAATGAAAGAGTAGCTCCAAGGCCCTCCTGTCCTCCGGGGAAGCAGCCGATCTCTCTCTCTCTCTCTCGCTCTCGACTGTCGACGTGGCGTCGGCCGGCGTCGAGGATAATTAAAGACGCCGGTATCGTTCACATGGGAGTACGAAGATAGTTAAAGCACTGACAGGGTTATAAATAACATAGAATTCAATATGTGGTATATAAATAATAATATTTTTATTTTAAAGCTCCACTACAAGCGTCAGTGTCGAAAAACGAACGTTGAACAAAGTGAATTTATTAATAAAAAATACAATTTTCCACGTTCTTCCCGACAGAAGGAAGTGAGCATTCCTTCTTCCATGCAGCTAACTACACATCTATCCATGGAGGACGAGACGCGAAGAAATCTATATGCTTCAAATTTTCCAGTCTTTGCGAAGAAACTATGTTTCTTGAGAATTCCGTCTCAGATTTTTTTTTTCCCCCCCGTAAACTTGGTTAGGGATCGATGGCATCGGACTGGGGCTCCTGCGGCATCATCAGAGGCTGGGGAAGTAAGCTTTTCAACGTGCTTCTTTACTCTATAATTAGGGTTTTTTTACTCTATAATTAGGTTTTGATAAATTTCCGTTGAACGCAGGATATTTGATATTTGGTGCCTTCATATTCCACCGACGGATAGGACGCCGTTTGAGGGTCTTTTCTTAAACTTAATTTCGTGATGCTTTCGATCCATCCCCTACCTTGCGGCACGCGAATCATTATTTTTCGTCGTACGGAATGATTGATGACAACAGCGTCGACAGATATTTGTGTTCTGGAAAGATAAACTAGTCCATGCTGTTTTTTCCTGAAGTATTGCTTGCATGATTTTAAGTGTAGCAATTTATTTACTCAAGCTCCGATCGTCCTTTCAAAATTTTCACAATATTTCCATATATTCAATTTATTTCAAAATGAAGGAAAGAGACATAGAAATACGCACACAATCTGCTCCCTATAAGCGCCCAATGTGAACAATAGCAGAATCTCCCGTTGAGTTTTAGCTTGTTTTTCTCTATATTTTATTCTGATTGTGTCCTTTGGACTTTGTTTATGATTTTTTTTTGGAAAACATATCTGACAATAAGGGATTTCGATGATGTTTACTATAAATGAAAGATAGTAGAATAATTGTTTACCATTTTAATGGCTACTTTTGGAAGAACTTTGTTATGTTGTAATTTTTTTCGCGCGAGTTTTGTAAGGCTAAATTTTCTGATGAATTCAGGTTTGGTAAACATTATCGAAGACACTGTGAAGATGCAAATTTCATGCTTTCCAAAAAGGCCCATATATCTTGTCGGAGAAACCCTGGGAGCATGTCTGGCTCTTTCTCTGGCATCGCGAAATCCTGACATTGATTTTATTCTCATCTTGGGTAACCCAGGTCTGTCAGAGTTCTCCATTGACGATATTTATGTGAGAAAGGCTGCTGTTGAGAAATTTTAATCGCAACTTCACCTTGCAGCAACACATTTCCACAAGTCCCCACTGCAGTCACTGTCCTCGCTCATGGAACTTTTGCCTGAAGTGCCTCTTAGTCTGCCATTTGCTCTTAGTTCGAAAGAAGGTTTGTGGCCTCTACAAAGAAGAATTTACTAGAAGAACTTCGAACTTTGCCAAGAAAAATAATGATTTCGTATGGTTGTTTGATTTATTGTTTGAAAACACAGACATTATTTAGAGTGATATGATCATTGTATTTTTCGTACTTGTCTAAAAAAATAAATTTAATACTATCACCTCTCTATTTCTTGGATTAACAATTTTTTTTCCAGTGTTCTGGATTCGGTCCATTGCTGTGTTAGTGACTGTTCAATTGGAGCTTTTGACATTCATGGTCCAAGTGGCCAATTCTACCGTGGAACCGTTTATGTGCGTTGAGAATTAGAATATCCAGCGGCTTTTGTATCTTTCTTGAACTGGAATACTAACACGACTCAATCAGGTCTGGCAGATACCTTTGGCAGAATAACCTTCTTGAATGCTGTTGCAAAGCCCATCAGAAACCTTTTTTCCGAAAAAGTGTAAAAAAAGACTGAACTCTTATGTTCATAAAGGGAAAGGGATGAAAAAATCTTGAGTCTTTTATATGTCGACTCAGATTCTACCTGTGTCCAGAGTGTTTAACTTTTCGTCGGAAATAATTATCCTCATGATCAAAGTTTCTGTCGTCGTGCTCCCTTTAGGAGGTCCACCATTGGATTATGGAAAAACTCTCTAAAGATCAGCCTTTTCAAGATTCCTGAACTGTTCTGTCTACATTGTTTAAGTTTCTCTGTATATTGATTTTTGACAGCAGATCAACATGTTCCTCCCCTGGATGTCAAACGGTTGAATGATAGATCTCCACAGTATATTAATTGTATCGGAGTCCACAGATGCATGATCCACAATTTCTCTTTTTGAACGTTAGAAAGTGCCCATTTTCAAAGTTTTACTGAATCATATTGAAGTATTCATGCACTAAAGGCTGATTTACGAAACATTTATGGTACTCATCCTCAATTTTATAGTCTGTGAGAATCATTTGCCCTTGTTTTATTGGAGTAATAGTGGATGGTTGTCGCTACAAGAAACAATGAAACATGCCTATTAGGCTTTATGATAATTGTGTTAACCTAATATTCTCAATTTGATCGGCAGTTGTGTCCATTTATGGCAAAAGGGGGCTTCAAGAAACTAGCACTGCGTCACCAGGCAATATTCCTATAGAATTTTTGTACATCTCTGTGAGTATCAACTTTTCAATTCAACCGTCATGCGGAGTGAAGAACGTGCGTATTATAAAAAACACTACAAATGTTAAAATAAGCGAGGAAGAGTCAGTTTAATTTTTCTTTTTGAAATCCGTGTCAGTGCTGATCTGGGCTAAACTTATTTCAGCTAAAAATACAGAATTTTAATTAGGAATGTTGTGACCAATATTTGATTAAACGTTTGATTGAGTGATTCAGCTGGTTCCATTTTACATCCGGTAAACACTCCCTTAAAAGTCACTTTGATAACTATGCCCTGCGAACTTTGGTGGGCAAAGAGCAGAAATGCATTTATGAAGAAGTACACCTTCTCGCCAAATATCACTGTATTCTTTCTAGTATTCTTGAGTTTAATTATTCTACACATGGCGGAAGCTTAGCTTCTGGATGAATCATGCATTGTGTTTTGTTGATTTGTATTTTCTAGCCTGCATACATGGTTGGTTGTTCTCGAATTATTTCCATATTTTTCTCATTTTAAGTTGGAATGTTTCAAATGGTCCCTGAAATGTTTACTGTTTTCCTTTTATTTCATGAAATCATTTGGTGGACATATGGAAAATAAAAAGAAAGTTCCCTCATGTCTGTTGAATGAGGAAAATATAGCTTGCTCTATCTCCTAAAAGGTTGAGAAATTCCTCGTTGCTAAATCTTCTGTCTAATTTTCCAGTAGTGGGAGTTGATTTACAATCTTGCCAGTGTCTCTCTCCCCACCACCTAAAATTGAAAAATAAAAAATGAAAAAGAAAGGTATTACGGAATCCTTTTTCCTATTAAGTGCGGAAAGAAAGCTGAAAAGTCCATGCCAGTATCATGTTTCGTGTGCTCTTGCACATTTTTGTATCCTATTCTTATTTATTTTTCTAAGAATAGGAAGTTGAAGTAATCTCCTAAGACGGATTACCAGCCACTCATAACCCGTAATTACTTACTCATCGAGTTTTTGGCTCTCTATTTAATTGTGAACCACCATTTTTCACCTGGTATAATCTGTTTGAGACCACATAGCCAAAACTTATGCGCCTCCTTTATGTTTTCTCCATTACCTTAGTTTGGATTATGGCTGGAATTCTTTACAGAGATCAGGGTCATTAATCAAAACTTATGCTTTTGTTTAAACGTACGTAAATTTTCCTTTTTTCTGATTGAATTAGTTGGTTTTTTTTCAGTTCTTGGTCGATATTTTAACAAGGGATTCTCTTAAATGGAGACTGAAGCTGCTCAGATCCGCATCCTTATATGCAAATTCTCGAGTTCATTCTGTTAGAGTCGAGACGTTGATACTTGCTAGGTTGTCTTTTCTCTTTGATATTCTTTTAAGTTTCTTTGGTGGTAATCAAGTTAATCTTCACATTCAAAAAAAACTGATTAAGGTGACCACTCAATTTTTTTTAGTTTTTTTGGATGGTCATTATCTCTCACCACATGATGAGAAATTCTGATATTTTTTCGTGTACAAGGTTATTTCTTCTGGAGGCTTCGAAAACCATCTTTTCTGACCTAATATTTTCTTTTAGAGTGAATTTTATTATTTCCTGGTCTTGGAGTGAATAAATTCTTCACTAGATAGCTTTTAGAGGAACACCTATTCAGGCATATTATCGAGAGGTTATTCTCATGTGAACTTTATTGGGCCATATTTTAGATGCTGAAAGAGCAGACCCTTGGGCATCTATCACGTACTCATAGGTTCAATTCTGACACAAAACAGTTTGTTTGGTGTTGAAAGTTAGTAAAATCTTCAGTCTGTTTAAATTCTCAAACAAATGCAGATTGTTTTTAGTAAGTTGGTGGTGCCATTTTATATGAACTCATGGTAAGATATTCCTTTGAGATTATAGATCTATTGTATTTTTTGTGCCTGTTTGACATATGATGGTTAACACTACATGAAATTTTAGTAAAAATTCTTTGGAGATAGGAATTTGTGCGATGCACCTTTCACATACAATCATAATTTTTTTTTAGTGCAATTAGGTTACGAAGACACCTTCAAATGCTACTCCCATTAGAAGTCTATTGTCTTACACAACCTCATTAATAACATTATCTTCATCAGTGGATATTTTATGAACATATGTTGCAAAAAGATCTTAATTTTTCCGTGGGACATTATGCATATGTCAATGTGTATAAAATATATTGAGCCAGAACATTTCTCAACTAATATAATAATTTAATATTTCGACTATGATGATTGCTAAAGATTGTGAGAATTTGCTTTTGTGTTTTAGAGTGCCTAGTGGTTTGAAGCCCTGTGGAATCTTGTACTTCCTTTTGTCACTAAAATTATTTACCTGATAAATGACATCTAATAGTTTTTGTTTGTACTGATCTCTTTTAAAAAATCTCTAACTTCTTGTTAGTTAGCAAAAGTTACTTTGGAGTGGGGTACTTTCATCTAGGCCAATCTACTTTACTAGGACTTGTAAGTGAAGGCAATATAATATCCTAGTATTGATGTTTAGGAACAGATTGACATGGTTGATTCTCATTGTTGTCAGTCTCAGGAGTCTCATCCTTGTAATCTAGATTTTGTTTAATCTTTCTCAATTGTTGCTTGGAATGCTAGAGGAGAAATGAGATGTATAACAATATCAATATTTTTAGAAATATGTGCACTTTTGAAATTCGGCATCACTTAGTCAATATGAAAAATCACATTTTTAATTTTCAGCATATTTTTCCTTTAGCAATATACCTTATAGAAAGATTGCTCATTTTCATTCTTCACACAGATACATTGTGTAAACATAATCCGAAATTTGAATCATGCGTTTAGAATTAGTTCTAATGCCTCAAAAAGTATGAACAAGGATCCTTTCGTAAGATTCTATCATCCTTTATAAGAATAAATTTAAATTCCCTACCTAGTTTTCTGTCAAAAGAATACATAAAATAAGAAATGATCACTCAGTAGTTATAGTTTTAGAATATTCCACATCTGTGTCTACGCAAATATCATAAAATTCCAAGAAGATTTGCGTGACTAATATTTCTCATTTTTGCTACTTCATGATCTACTAATTAAAAAAACATAATAAATTTATGTTTAAAGTAGTTCATTATAATCCTCTTGTTTCCACTACCCATTTAGTCACGGTGTTGTAAAACATAAAAACATAACATATTTACACATCAGTGAGAGACAACAATTTCATTGGACATCGTACATGTGATGTTTACATTATCATTGTTTTTATGAACTTTGCCTCTATTCTGTTGTCTTTTTATTTTTAAAAATTCTTGAAGATGACCTTATTGCAATGAGTGTACTATTTTGGTTTTGATGTCATTATCTCTTGTTTGATAAAGAGCTTGTTCGTTCTATATTCCTCATTACTAAGATTTGTGCAATATTGGTGCTTATTATTGTTTTTTCCTTCGATAAACAAATTGTTAGTACAATAATCATGGTTCATACATTATTTTAAGTATAATTGCACATGTTAATACTAATGTTTCAAGGAAATTTAAAGCATTAAGGCAGTGTAATTCATCTTTGAAGGTCATTTTCATTGTAGATTAAAAGATATCACTGGCCTCTACAACATTCGGTGCTTTCCCGGAATTTAAAGTTTAATGACTTCTTAATATGGAACATCTATTTCCTTCTGCCTTTTGGTTTGCACAATGATAGCAATTTTTCGACAGAGACTGAACACTTGCTTTACTTACCGCATCATAAAATGCATTGCCATCAATTTACTTTGTAATTTGCCTATTTTTTTATTGCTTATTTGTATCCTATTTGGCTTTAATTAACCAACTTCTATAAGTTGGGAGACATCTCTGCGATGAAGGAAGGTTTCATCTTTAGTTTTATAGCGCCTAGGATTTTAACCCGCAATAACTTGGGAAGCTGCTATTTCTAGAACTTATGGTATGAAGGTAAAACAGATATCCATAATCTCAAATTGGTATGCTATATAAATTACGGTATCGCATTACAGAAAAATCATGAGGCAAAATATTTTCATTGAAAATCTCTCAGCTTGGATTGTAAAAGACTATGCAGAGTGCAGAGTACAGAGTACAATGATTCTCTCAAGTTCTTTGCGAAAATCTTAGGGATGCCATCCAGAAGAGTGATATACGGCTACCTTACATAGATAACAAACGAGATATCATGATAAACTTCGAGAAAATTGAATAAAGAATCCTTAGTGCAAGGCCTCAAATTTTTCGAAGAAGTCGGACTCAATGATGATGACCTTGATTTTCTTCCTTCCTCTGTCATGCCACCATGTTATTGTTTTCTCCTTCTCCCTCCTCTTTGTTTTACCATCCTAGCTTGAAATTAGGAACGAAAATCCTAACCCATGCCACATAGAGTAGGTTGGCCTAACTAGCACATTGAAATGTTCATTACCTGAAAATATTGAAATATTCCTTTCAAGCATCATTGAGTCGTTAATTTTGATATCCTGAAAGTATACCACCACATATGATGTTCATTGTACAAAGATTAAGATTCCACTTCTAAGTTGGCTCCAGCTGATCCAATTCGCTTGAAATTTAGATTACTATCCTGACTACTAAAGAAAGGACCAAATTGGGATGTATGGACTTGAACAGACTAGTTTAGATGGGTCGTCCAATGAATGGAACCAAGTTACAATTTTTTCTCCCGGTAAGGCGGTTGAGACCTATATTCTGAAAAATAATTGCTTTTCATGTCCTCTACTTATGCACAATTTTTTCCATATAGCACGCTATATTGTTTTTTTCCTATGATTGAATTTATGTCAACAATTTTCTTAAAGTGGGAAGGACCAGTTACTGCCTAGCCGTGATGAGGCTGAGAAGTTATGCCGTTTGATGTCAAATTGTAGAATTCGCCATTTCAAGGACTGTGGTCACAACATATTCCTGGTACTAATTAATGTTTATGTTTGAGTCTACCTCTTAACGCTAAATTGCATGATTAAATAGAAAGTGCAAGCATGTCTTCCAAATATTGGAAACACTGATGTCCTGTCTTCTGTTGCATATCCTAGATACACATTATTTTAATGTTCCCTTGACCATGTTCCACATCACTGAGAATTGATGTCTTTACTTGGATTGCACATAAACAGGCCTTCAAGTGACCTTTTTTAATAACTTCACTTATTTCCAAATGTGTGCTTCACTTTACAATGATGCTTTATATGCTAGAAAATTATTTTGTGAAGCTTATACCTGATTTCGTTCACAAGAAGTCCGTGATAGAAGGTTCTGGAAAAACTCTAATGAATATTGTTCATTACGTAGTATAAACTAATGGCATCGAGAAAAGTGTAACTGTAGTTAATATTCAATTTTTTAGTCTTTCAATCATTTCATTACGTTATTACATATTATTAGATTATAAGTGTGGCTATATTATCTTCCTATTACAAACTCGAAGGGAAATGTGCTTGGGAAATGAAGTGTTCTTCAAGTTATAAGATGTGATAAAACATTTAGTAGAGAAATCTGAAAATTACGTTAAAAGATAAATTAATGAATATTTTAAGTAGTATAACGTCTCGACCAACGTCCAAGTATTGTCAAAAGAGGAGAATTCCAAATTTAGAAGACACCTAAACATTAAACGAGTTTGATGTCTCAAAATTGAGGATTGGGGATCTGTGGTAGAATATGAGGAAAGCAGTGAGAAAATGAACAGAGTAATTTTATAAAATAACTAAAGGTTGTGATGAGGAACAAGAACATCTATCCTAGATAGAGAAACATAAGAAATCTGAGGTGAAGAAAGATCCTTATTGAGTAAACAATCGTAAATCCGTTGTATTGGAATCAAGTTTGAGTCATCACAATAAAAATATGCAGGTGATTGAATAGAGGATTGTGAGGACAATAGAGGATCAGATTGGCTTCAAGTCAAACTATTTTATTTTTGAAGTGATTATTAAGAACTATTTTAATCAATAATATGATAAAAGAGAGCGAGGTTTTTGAGGTGGCCCTGACAATTAAGGGGGTAGACATTTTTTTGTTCTTCAGTAACGATGTGAAACATTGAGGGAGTAATTTTTTATTATTCTAAAAATTTAATGAATAGGACACAAATTTTTGATAAAAAAGATAAAAAGATGAAAAAGTACAAAATACATTTTAGTGTTTGAAATAAGCGCTCTTTATGGTGGATTGACATTGAAATATATTTAAGAGTTGTCTAAAATACCATCTAGCCAATAGAAAGGTCTTAAGATGACCTCTATCAAGTGTGAAAGATTTAAGTGGAAGGATGCTACTCAATAATTGTTTCTTGGTCGTGATAAATGACGCTTTGGTTTATTTCTATGATATCTAAGACATGTTTGAACGAAATTTTGTTTATTTCCTATTTATTTTTCTACCCTTCACTTAGGAAATAGTTAATGCGTGTAATTTCTTCATGAACAGGAAAGCGGTGTTGATTTGGTAACTGTTATCAAAAGAGCTTGTTTTTATCGACGTTCAAGACAGAAGGATCATATATCAGATTACCTATTGCCAACTGATCTTGAATTTAAAAATATTTTAAAAGAAAACAGGTAGCCTGTTGGATGTATCTATTTACTGTGTATGTGCATCATGGACTATGTTTTACATATTTTAGACATATGTTTGATTCTTTCAGTGTCTAATTTTGGATCTGAATTTTTCTTAGATGGTTAACGGATTCAGTTAGCCCTGTAATGCTCTCGACCTTAAGCGATGGAAAAATAGTGAAAAATCTCTCAGGAATTCCATCAGAAGGACCTGCGATTTTTGTTGGAAATCACATGTTGATGGGTTGGGACTTGGTTCCGTTGGTCTCAAGGCTCTTATCTGATAGAGGGATTCATCTTCGTACAATTGCACATCCAATTATATTTGACAGGTTTTCAGAGATCATGATGCCAGACTATTCGTCCTTTGATCATTACAGACTTATGGGTGCAGTTCCTGCCTCTGCAATGAATCTTTATAAACTTCTCTCAAGCCGATCATTTGTTCTGTTGTTCCCTGGTGGTGCACGTGAGGCTCTTCATAGAAAGGTAAGCTTTTTCTGGAAATTTGTCAAAAACAGTCAGTTGTTCTTGTTGTATTCTTTCGAATTTGGTTGTTTATGAATCAAAGGGAGGAGAATCAAGTTTTTAATAACTTTTCAGCTAGATAACTGAAATAGTAAGGTACGTGGACGGATTACTCAAACAACCGTACCTCTAATTTGAAGGAACTTTTGCTAAACAGAAAGATAAACAACAGGATCTTAAGTAATGCTCTTTTTTGCATAAATATTTCTGAATTATTATACATACGCTGGCCGAAATACCTTGATACGTTTATATCTTGAAGGTATGGATTTGTATTGTCATATGGATGCGTCTATTATGTGGAGCCTTAGACTTTCAAACAATCATCTGTTTTATCTTTTTGCTTACGTCATGCTAACTTTGTTTAGGAATTATATTTCTCATATATATTTTTTGGAATTGAATGCTATCTACTGAAACAGATAAGTTTTTATAAGAAAAAAGAACTACTAATTGTGTCAGTTCTCATGGGACAAGCGGTAGATTTTATGGATGTTTTTTTCTTGTGTCTTGATGATGTTGAGATTCAAATGAATTTGGGTCCAGGTAGAGGACGACTCAGAAGTTGTTATAGTTATTTTACCACTAGTTTTATAAGGTCTTCCTACAATGCTTGAGATAGATGTAGAAGAATGTCGATATAATTTTATCCCAATAGACTTTTTATTTTTTTGTAGGGTAGGGCGAACATGGGAAGAGAGATACTTTTGAATGTACTGTGTTCATGGTAGAGTTGGATGGTAGTCAATTGGTTGGCTCATGGATACAATCCTTTAAAGTGTTGGTGCAATTCAGTAGTAATAATAATAGAATCATTATTTTCAGTGCAACATTTACTTTAACAGAAATGCATTTTAAAAAAATATATCGCTTTGAATGATCAGCATTTCATTTATGATGAGTCATCAGCATCTACAGTCTCTGATTCTTAAAATCCAATCAAGTTTCTACAAATGAAAACCCAAATGTTAATGAATGTTTATCATTAAAATATTGTCCAAAGAAAATTAGAAGGATAATGGACGACGGAAAGTTTTTATATCCCATTTAATTTCTTGTTTTTCTTCAATTAACAATTTTTTATGTAGCTTAACTGTGTATTCTATTGAAAATATCTATGAAATTTAATGATGTACTATTGAGATTTCTTTTTTAAGTTGTAATGAGAAATACGATGGCCTAATTATGCATGTTTGAATGGCTAGCTAGAGTCAAGAACATTTTCATAGATGGTTGTGTTTTCCTGTGCTAAGCATCTTGAAACATTCTAGGGTGAGGAATACAAGCTATTTTGGCCAGAGCAGCCAGAATTTATCAGAATGGCAGCAAAATTTGGTGCTACAATTGTGCCTTTTGGTGTTATTGGAGAAGATGATATTTGTAAAGTAAGTAACGCCGGTGGAATTCAGTTTGTGAACTATCGGTTATTCAACATATCTGCTTTTGTCCTTCAAGAAATATTGAATTATTCGGGATATCTATGTTTTTCACTTTAGGTGTGATCAAGAGGTTGATAATTTGACCATATGCTTACAACTCTAGGTAGACTATTTTGACATACTTTCATATACAAGCCGAATGTTTAATAATATGCTATATGGACAATATAAGTAATGTGCAGGGCAAAGAGACAACTAAGACTTCGTACTTCATAAAAAATTATGTCGACTAGACAAGAACGGATTGACCATTAATGAAACATATCCATATATTTTAACCACAAGTTTATCATCTCTTACGAATGTAGGTTTATTTGACACTGCAATCTTAGGGCACAATTACAATCTAGACTTGTTCTTTCTTTGAAATCAACAGCGGTTATGAAATCTGATTTTTCCTAGTTATTACGTGGTTAAATGTCCTTCAGAAATGTGACAAGAATGGAGATCATATTCTACATTGAAAGAATACAAATTCAACGAATAAACCTAATTTGAAGAGAAATAATTTAAACTGTCCAATTCCCATTGTGTATTTAGTTGATTCATTCCCCATAGCAAGGAGATATATGTAAGCATCTTTTGATGCCAAAATACAACAACGTATGTGAGTGGATTATCGAAGCTAATTCAAGAACAAAACTTGAACGTGTTACTTTTTTTTAGTGATGGATCAATTTGTCTTTGTACCTACGGTTAATGTCTACTTTAGACTTATAATGCCTGTTTTTGGTGAGACACCATCCTTATCCGTTAGATAATTTTAATCTTTTTCTCTCTTTCGTCTCTGATCCGATGATGACTTTAGTTTCAATAAAACTTAATCCAAAGGTGCATTAAATCAAAAATTGGACTTTACAAACCTGAAAGGCTGGATGCTAGTGTGCTGCCCTTGCAGTTGTTTTCAAGAAACCAGATAGGATTGCCCTGAAATTCCATGACCGATTGAGATCGCTTTTTTGCTGTCAGAGTTTAGTAAATTTGGAGTTTTTTCATTCCTGCGGAGTTTTTTTTTTTGCATAATTTAGAATGTGATTATCTGTCTTGTTTTCTTGTTGCACAATAGGTTCGCTATTAGTTTTGTTCGTGGCTAATGTGGAGTTTAAACTCGTAAAAATTGTATTTGTTGAAGTGGGTTAAGCCATTGAATTGGGAGAGTGTACACCATGCTGAATATCCCTATTCTATCTGATAAGATCTAGTTTGGGTCCGCGCATGCTCAACAACTTAGTTAATTCCAATAGTCTTTATCTCTGTGAAACCACCTCACGAAAATATTCCTAACCATGAGCTTGGTAAATCATTTGCAGTTGCCACTAAGACCTTATTGTTTCACAAGCAACGTAAATAAATTGGTGTGTATGCCTTCGTCTAATATGAGTTCTTTTCTTCAGTTGCTTCTTGATTATGATGACCTCGTCAAGATCCCCTTTTTCTATGAGATCATAAAGAGGATTAATCACGAAGCAGTAAGACTGAGGTTTGTTTGTTAATTACTCTTTGGCTATAGATAATATAATCGTAATGGAGATTCTTTCCTACGGTCCTTTGTACTGATGGTAAACTTCTTCATCAATGGTATCATTCTTTACTCCGCTGTTTCCAGAACATTAACCTTTTGTAGACACTAAGCTCTCGTTTGAGACTCTCATAACCTTGATATACAGTTACCTAGATCCCAAATAATCTCTGGATATAGGTATAAAACTGCACGATGATGGTGATGATGCTGACGATGAGATGTCCGTTGTTGTGCTTTTAATTACACAGTTTAAGGAAATTGGTGTCCGTCAGCTACTTCCTGCATATGAATGGTTATAAAAAAAATTATTATCTTTTTTGACAGTGAAAGGATGCGACTCATGTTGGGTATTTATTAAGAAAGGATCATGTTTCTGTATCAAAATTCTCCCCTTAATGTGTCATCTGGCCTCTTGAAAAATTTAAGGTTGCTCCTTGGTTGCTTGAACTTCAGTTGTGACGGCCAAGAAGATGGCTTCCTTCGCTTCCACCATCTCTCAAAAAATTAACATAATAGTATGATCAAATAGATCATCACAGATAATTACTTTGTCTTCGGAATTACCACTTTCTGATAATTTATGTGATCTTATCTTCATAAATCCATGAAAATCCAGTTCTTCATAACAAACAAAGATCGTTGAAATCCGATTTTGGATGGCATATAAAATTTCTCTGGCCTTTGAAAAAATTCGGCCAAATGGTTGTGCACAGGGAAAGTGTGGTTCATTATAAAATATTTTAATTTTTTTTTAATGTATCAGTTTTTCGGAAAAACTATGTGACCATGACTTTAAAGTGTGCCTTTTAAATTTTTTAAAATGAACGATTTTTCCATAAGGACCTGAGGATTCAGAAAACCTAATCCAATCTAGACTGCGATCTGACTCGGCCACAACCCATTCTCTCCCACTATTTGTAGGTTATTTGAGAGGATTCCATGGATTGTGAATTTATCTAGAAAAGCTACTCCAATTTTCCAAACTCCTAGATTATTCGTGTCTTGTAAAATTTTTATTACTGAGGGAAATGGATCTAATGATACAGGAATTGGTGTTCTGACCTGGTACTCAAGTAAATTCTGATCGTTCCATCCTTGGGAATCGTTGACTAGTCTTACAGAGCTTATCAGTCTTTTCTGTGAACAGAAATGATCTCTCTCTCTCTCTCTCTCTCTCTCTCTCTGTGGCAAACACTCAAGTACATGGCTTTCCAAAACTCATTATTACGACGGGTCCGTCCTATTACAGCCACAGAGCTCCAGTCTTTTCTGGATTTAATGCTCTGGAAATTTTCATCATCCTCAAGCAAATTAGCTCCAGTCTTCGCTTCCTTACCTGAGACATGAATTCTATTTTCGTTTGACCTTTTCTACCCCATTTCTGTTTCTTAATATCTCTGCCTCTCATCTTTCATGCTCTTTCTGTTTCATCCTATTACATCCTGATCCATTTGCGATTGTCACTACTTTGCCTCTTCTAACTTACTTTTCCATTTTCTTCCATCAATTGAATCCCCAGTGATGCCCCCTTCCTCTTATTATATAGCCCATATTTCTGGTCAACAAGAGAGCTACCAGCAGAGGACTGCAGATGAAATTCATGTAGTAATAGGTGGTTTTATAGGTAATCGAGCCATCCAACTCAGAATTTTTTGCCAATGGGCGGAGCCACCTCAACCTTATAATCGCAGGCTTATTCTTAATTTCTGTAATCACTGATGCAGGACTATTCTTAACCACGGAGACCCCTACCCCATGATTTTTTATTCTAAATGATGCCAAATCTCGCTAGAACAGTAGGAAAATCTGAATGGAAATCTGCATGATTTTGCTCTTGATGTTTTGAACAGTATGTATCAGAATGGAGGGAAATCGAATGATACTGTTCATTTATGGCATTTCCCCAGAAACGTGGGGAGAATAAAAATTAGAAAAAAATCTAAAAACAAGGTCTTTTTTTTTTGGGATTTTGCCTTAGTTTCCATAAGAACTAGACTTTTGTATGGTCCATCATTGTCTATTCAGTGTACGCCCTCTTGTTCAGGGGTTTTCTCTTTGAAACCAATAGATTCAATCTCTCTTTTCTAATTCTTACAAAAGATACTGTGATTTCAGATTCGGATTATTTCTCTGCCTTAGTAGTCATTGTTAGAGTAGTCTACTCATGCTATTGAAAGATCTCACGTTTCCCTGACAAGCTCCCTCATGTGGACATGCTGCTGACAGGGCTGATTCTCCTGGAGATGCCAGAAGCCAAAACATTCACCTCCCAGGATTGCTGCCAAAAATCCCAGGACGGTTTTATTTCTTGTTCGGAAGGCCAATCCAAACAAGAGGTAGTTCTCGATGGCCTGAAAATTGTTCCATTTTTTAAATTTATTTCATATGGCTAATCCAATTTGAGGCAATTTTTCATGTTAAAAAATTCTCGGGATTTATTCTGATTTTTTTTAATAAAAAAATATACTCAATTTTATTGATATTTCCAAAAAATATATGGTGATTCATTGCGTTCATTATCAGAATTTTGTAATAATTATTTTTATTTCTTGGTAGGGAGGGAGGATGAACTAATGGACAAAGAAAATGCACGAGAACTGTATTATCATGTGAAGTGTGAAGTTGAAAGCAGCATTGCATATCTTAAGGATAAGAGGGAGAAAGATCCTTACAGGAATCTATTGCCTAGGCTCCTTTATCAGGCAACGCATGGCTTTTCATCTACAGTTCCCACATTTGACCTATGAAACTCATGGGAAGGTTAATTTTTCTCATTATTCTTACGTTCCTTTTATTTATTTATTTCCGTTGATAATAGTATGTTTTTCAAAGAAAATGTTAGTGTTCATTGTAACTTAATGAGCAGCATGGAATATTCATTTACAGGATTGACCATGTGATTAGGAAGTTGTTGATTTCCATTTCTGTCCTGTAAATCTCTACTTTTTTGTAATGTTTCTTTCTTTATATGTGACATAGGTGGCTTGTATTTTCAATTATTTGACCTATATAGGTGATAATTTATTTTTTCCATAAATACCTAGCTTAAAATGATTATTTTTAATAAATCATATAAATGATTCTACCTTAAAAATTTGCCCTTTATTCGATCTCCTCTTTCTAGAAACAATCTCTTCTTAATTTTTTTCTTTTAGAAAAAGAGATCAGAATCTCATCAACCTCATTTCATTCTCTTTTTTCTTTCTTCTTCTTTTTAACAGATTGCTCACTCACCGCCATTCAAGTTAATAGTTTTGAATCTTTAGCAACCCATGTTCACACACGTGTGTCCACATCATGAGAACCAGCAAACTATGGATTCATGTAAAAATTAGCGGTACATTTCTCCCAAGTATGATGGTAAGGTACAAAGTGCCCTTTGGAAAATAATATATATATATATATAAGTTAAATAAAAACTATTGAAAATGTATCTTATTTCACACTCTCTATTAGGTGTCTATGGCCCAAGTATTTAGTGAGTCAGCGGGGGAGAGGCAATACCAATGATCGATTATCTTTGTAAATATTGACCAAGAACTCCTCAGGTTCAAAGTTGGTGGCTATTATAGTTCTTGAGGGTTGCTCAACTTTATAGGTTTCTTTTTAACGTTGTAAGTCATCATAGGGTCAACTAAAAGAACTGAAAAATGTGCATCGGCCTAGACTCTTGGAAAGTTGACTTTAGGCCAAAACCAAGGGCAGGCAAACAATCAAACATGCCCTCAGGTCAAGGGGTCTGTCCAAATGAGACATTCTAGCCTTGATTTTGAGATAGAGTCCTCCCAAAATGATCCAGTGAAAGTTTGAAGAATTTATAATTTGATCATGTTCAGCTTTACTTGTGTATTGTGGAAGTAAAATCATGACCGTGAATTCAAAAAAAACATGTCTTGGTTGAAAACCCCTTGCCTTGAATCCATAGGATAAAAGATTTCACCTTTTGAGTTCGCAAGGAGTTGATCCTGAGTTTACAAGATCAAAAATGGTTCCTTGAGTCTACAAGGATGCTAGAATCTATGAGTAGAAGGAGAAAACCTCTAGAAATGAAGGGAACTTGAAATTTGATCAATGAAAACGTGTTACCTTTTGGGGCTACAAATGCAACCTATTTATAGGTTGAAAAATAATTATAACTCCTATAAAAGGAAAAAATCTTATAATACTAAAGAATAAGGAAAAATAGATTTAACTTTCTTAGAAAAAAGGAGGATTATGTTATAATACCCATAAGAAATAGGAACATCTTAAACAAAATAAAATGATTATATTACATGAATAAAATGTGCAAATTAAATTTGGCCCACATTAAACATGTGGCTAAATCTCTTATTATGTCATTTCGAGCTTTATTTGGGCCAAATAGAGTCTTCGTGTCTCTTAAGTTTCTAGTTCACTTGAATTGATCTAAAACTTCATTGTATTTTGAGTTGTAATTATGTTTTAGCTTTTTCGATATAAATCCTAGTTGTTTGAACCACTAGGGTCAAAAAACCTTTCATTCCTCATTTGACATCAATTTCTAGGCTGTATCATAAAAGAAAAAGTAAAAAAAAAAAGCTGGAGAAAGTAGAGGGGAGGAGGCCAATCTCACTATGCTGATCATTGTAATATGACCAATGGAAAGTCTAACATGGAGAGTAAAGTGAGCAATGAAAGTGACTAACCTTATTGTTGATACAACAAGAGATGTGTGAGATTAGATATTTTTCCCTTAAATCCACAAAACACAAAATTCAACAAAGAAACTAGTCTTGAATCCATCTAACTTGGCACCTTCAATCATTAAATTCTTAAGAATTTGTTTGGATAGCCCTTGAATATACAATGATCAAATATTTTATTTAATGTATATGAAGGTGCTTGAATCCACAAATAGAGAGAAGGGAAGCCTCTAAGAGGAAAAAATCATATTAACCTAGAATGTTTTGAGGTTTACAATATGGTGGCTTTTAAATAGGTCGAAAGTCAGATGGAATGACCCTAAAAAGGCAGGTTATTATATGAAATAAATTAAAAACGTCTTAAAATAATAAATTACTAAAAATTAATATTTTTCATATGTTATCTTAAGAAATAAATTCAAAGCATCTTAAAAGTTAGATGTTTACTAAAAATTAAGACTCATAAGTGTTCTTCACACAATTTATTTGGCCTAAACTTGTTTTTGGCCTTTATTGGTGTTGTTCTACATTAGTCCCTCGGTTGAAATAAACTCACCCTTAGGTCTTGATGAGATTTTTCATAGTAGTCATGAATATCCATCACATTAAAGGTTGAAGATATACTGATTTTATTTGGTGAATTAATGATATATCTTTTTATTATTTTTTTGCAAAAAATTGAATACCTCATGTTTTTTAGATGTCAACTGATTATATCAATTGAGATCCCTTTTTTCTACATATCATCACATCCAAAAAAAAAAAATCTCTTCTTACTAGCAGCCTTATTATAATTGTTGTAGTTGGTTGAAATATGCTTCTTGACATTTTCATAGGCTACTCTAATGTACTATATTATCTTGTTACTTATAATACTTGTTCCTATATGTTTAATCCAACATTCTAAATCTATCTCTTGTTAAATTAACATGTCATATGTGATTTTTCATATTCTTTCACTTTTAGCAATGAACATATGAGACAGATTTCCTCTCTTTTAATTATACATGTCATCTTCAAAGTGAAATACTAGTACCTTTAATTGACTTGAAGTCAATAAATTGTGCGCAATTTTTAAAAAAAAATACATCTTTATGAATTTCTTTGTATCTAATTTTATTTGAACAACAATGGCTCTAATACCATTGATTTGAACTCTTTTTTCATCTCCTCAAACTAAACATTTATTTGTTATGCCAAAGCTTTACACTTCATCTTTTTCACTTATCATATACTAATTGCAAATATTATATTAAAATCATACAATAATATTTACTTGTTACTAGAGTTGAAAAAATAAGAAATAAATTACTTTCGTCATTTAGCTCTAATACTAGCTGATTTTTTTTGTGGTAACAAAGATCTTATTAATTTAGTTCGAATGTAAATACGTAAGTCCCCCCCTCTAATAGTAGTAAGAATGTAATTAAATTTGGATGGAAGGTATCTCAGCTAGACTATAGATCAAACTTAGATCAAGAAAGAGGGAATTAAATTGATTAGGTCATAGTTTTAATTTGGTCAACTATTTCTAAATTTTTCAATCTTCCTTATCTGTTTTCAGCCCCTATCATTTTTCTATGTACAGAAATCTAAATAATATAAGATTTTTTATAGTAACTTGACCTTCTCCCTACGTCCATTTTTTTAGAACACCTCATTCTTGATTTCTTTTAAAGCAACTATTTACCAAAACATTGGCTGATTTCTGGGCTTAGCTCCCACAAAACCTCAACTCAAAAATTCTTTTCTACATTCATTATTCTTGGAGGCTCAATGATGAGTATAAGAATCTTTTCTCTTTGAGTATTAAATCAATATATAATAAAAAGTATTTCTCATACAACTAATAAATAATGTACCATAGGATATTGCAGATGTTGTTGACTTGGAGCCCTTTTGAAAATTTGATAAATAAAAACTTGAGTTGTGCTTAATTTTCATACATCCCTTCATGTATGGAAGCTAACTAAATGCAAAAAGCACTGATGCTTTAATTAGGTTGGGGATGATCTTGTTTCGATTATCATGATCATTGACTCATTGACGTCTTGACATTTGACCAAGCTTGAAAGACTATTAAAAGTCTCATGTAATTATATGTATAAAATAATCTGAAATTTCTCAAGATGGTAAAGGAGTTAGAAATAACTATTTAGAGCTATAGTCATTAGATCTAAATAAGATAAACTTATCGATAAATCAATACAACATGTCAGTATTGGTACTTAGATCTAAAAACTTATTAATTCAAATGGGCCCTATGAGAATCTATTATCATTAAAATATGATAAAGTATATATCTTAAAATAAAGTAATGACTTTTCATTCAGGATTTATTCAAATGATCTCACATAAATCATGACTATTAAATAGATATATTGAATCATAATCTTAATATGTACATAAGATATTATAAAATAATTTTTCAATTACCATTCATCAATATTTAGGACATCTTTAGGATACTATGTAGGGCTTTCCTCTTCTACACAAACATCCTTGGCATAACAGTCTAATATAGGTTGACTCAGCATCTATTTCACATGTGATCAATTAATTACTTTTCTAAAGAAACTTTACACAAATGTATTCACATCTATTACTATGGCAATAAATTTTTACAGCAGCAGCCAACCTTGTTTTTGTTGGAATGCTGAGATAAGACAAAACACTAAAAGAAGGGGTGAATTGGAGTTTTTCAAATTTTTTACTTATTTTTCAGATTTTTGTTGGCTTTGTACTCATACATGTCTATGTCATTAGTGGATATGTCAACACATGCAATATAGTAAGACCTTATAGTATTCTCTCACTAAGAACACATGTTTTATAGACTAATGTGCACTTCACCTGATTAATTTCATTCTTATAGGAAATTAATCTTTGGTAGTATTCCTTCAAGAATAGAAATTGATTTAAAAAAGATCAACAACCTAAATCATAGAAGTTTATCTCCATGAAGACATAATTATTCTCAAGCCAAATAAATTTACCAACACCTTGGGGTTTCAGCATAAACATTCTCTCTTCACCACCTAATTCTTAGGTCCTAGGATAGTAATGATCAGAATAGATGACTT